TCTCATTTAAACACAATTTCTCCTCTCTTGCCTTGGATCTATTTTAGCCTTTACATTTTTTTAAATGTGTCCTAGCTTTAGCTGAAAAATCAGGTTTTAGAATTCAGCACTGAACTTATATTCTTGTTTCTACGCATTGCTGGATAAAATGTTCCCATTTTCCAGTGAGAAAATTATACACGGCGGAGATCTTTCTATTGCTCGGTGTGCGTATGTGTGTCTGCTAGATGTTCTGTGGTGATTTATGTCGTGACTGTGCATGTCGTTTTCTTCCTTGAAAAAGTATCCACCAGAGTATGAAATAATTCTCAGACATATCTTTGAAAATACCTTTTTGTTGCTATCGATATAAAAGGGGATGATGAGAAATGTCCCGTCCCACCCTGGCGAGACGAAGCGGATCATCCCGCAGGCAGAAGAGGAAGGAAGCACCCTTTCGAGAAGATGGGGGACTGTGGGGGGGGGAAGAGGGCAAGGAAATGGGTGCTAGCCGGCAACGGCTTCTCCTCGCCAGGTAACCCTTCGTTCTTCCCCCGCGCCGCCGGATCCATAGCGAGAACCGGCTAGATCGGCCGCGGAAGGGGTGGCCCTGGGTCTCCGGGGAGGGGGGCAGCTTGCATACCTTCTTGGGATCGACTGCATTTCGTTTTGCCGCCGCCATTGCCCCGTTTGCTGGGGCCAAGCCGAGGCAGAACGGCCCCGGGCAGCGCTATTTGCCTCGGATACCCAGCCAGGCGCGCGGGCGGGCAGGGGAAAAGTTGCGCGCGGTCGGCACGCCTGGGCAAGGGCTGCGTGTGTCGAGGGGAGCGGGGTGTGCGCGCGAGTTGCGTGGCGCCGGAGGTGGCATTTATCGCTGTCTTGTTGCGCCCCCCCTTATGCAGTTCCCCCACACACACCGCATGGGCACGCGGAACTGCCCGCGTGCATGCATGGACCTCTGAGACCTCCGTCTGTCCTGGAGGGCTTCTGGAAGTGGCGGGGCGAATGCTCGCTGCTCTGCCTCTGGCCACGTCCTGCCCGATCGTGCCTCTCTAGGTGTCTCGCCGGCCCTGGCACGGAGGGTGACGCACCACGCGAGCGCGCCTGGGTTCTTCGAGCGAGGGGGACACGCGTCTGCCCGGTTCCGTGCCCACGTGCAGCGCTTCCTCGCCCGGTGTCAAGCGGCAGCGGCGGCGGCAAGAAGCATCCATTCAGGAAAGAGGACCCTAACCTCCCCCTGAAGACGGGACGTGCCGCAGCCGCTGCCATTCCCCTGCCTCGACTCTTTGCCAGAGAGCCCTTTCTGTGTGGAGCGCGAAGGCCTGTCTTGGCGAGCTCGTCCTTGAAGCGGCGGGGGATTCAGGCGGGGGGAGGCGCCCGCGGTGTGGCGAGGCGGAGGAAGAGAGACCCTGCTTTTTTCCGGCTTAAGTTTGCCAACACCGCCGGAGTTTTAGAGACCCAAGAAAGAGGGATTCCCTCTCCTCCTCCTTCGGAGGCAGGGAACAGCCCCAGCCCTGACACACCGCTACGGGGGGGGGCCCACGCCGAGGGTATAGGCGCTGGATGCCTAGTGCTGGTTATTTCGATTAATATTATTTTTTCCTATTTCGTCCGAGTTGGCTTCGCCGGCGCCCTTCCCGTGTCCCCGGCTCCCCTCAGCCACACCAGGGAAGCGGCTCGCCTTGGCGCGGAAAGGAGGCGAATCGGGGGCTCCCTCCCTTTCCCTCCTAAGGGTGAAGGCCGCCTCAGAAGACGCGACTGGGGACGGGGGGAGGCAGAAAAGGGCGCGAAATCCCTCAGGTCTTCTCCGCGCGTCACCCCACCCCCGCTGACAAGGAAAGGAC